ATGAGGTCTCACTGCCCAGGCGGGTCTCAAACCCGCGGGCTCAGGCAATTCACTCACCTCAGCCTCCCAAAAGCATGAGATTACATGCTGAGCCACCGAGCCTGGCTCACATGTATTGTTTATAGAGACGAGGACTCACTTTGTTGCCCAGACTGGTCTTGAACTCCTGTTCTCAAGCAGTTCTCCCACATTGTCTTCCAAAAGTAATGAGATTACAGGAGTGAGCCACCATGCCCAGCTATTTATCTGTATTTAAAATGAAAAGTTTTACTCGCTCCCACCTCTATCCATTCAGTTTTTGCCCTTCCTCTCCATGCATGCATGCATTAATAATCACTGTTAGTAATTTTTGCTTATCTTTCCAGAATTTCTTCATGCAAATAAAAGTAAATACTTGTATATGCTGAATTCTTATTTTGCCCTCCTTTCTACAGCAAAGGAAGTGTAATGTAAACGATTGTAACCAGTTTTTTTTACCTTTTTTCCACTTGGTATATATCTTTGAGATCTTTTCATGCCATCCATCATATAGTTTCCTCCTGCTTTTTTAAGCTGCATAGAAAGCATCATGTAGATGTTTGTGACTGACGGGCATGTGAGCAATAAGATATTACCAACAATAATGTTGTAAATAGTTTTATAGACATATTATTATGTACTTATGCAAGTATATCTACAAGAGGTATTCTTGGAAATGAATGGGACTGTTGGGTCAAAGTCTGCATGCATGTGTAATTCTGATATCAGCAGGGAGCCTCCATTTGTATTCCATTAAGGCTTAGTTTGGTTTGTTAAAAAAAATCTAGCCGGGCTCAGTGGCTCAGCCTGTAATCCCGCGCCTTTGGGAGGCTGAGGTGAGTGGATTGCCTGAGCCCGCGAGTTCGAGACCTGCCTGGGCAGTGAGACCTCGTCTCTACAATAAATCAAAATCAGCCGGGCGTGGTAGCGCACGCCTGTAGTTCCGGCTACTCAGAAGGCTGAGTCGGAAGGATCGCCGGAGCCCAGCAGGCGAGGCTGCGGTGGCCGGGAGCGGCCACTGCACTCCAGTCTGGGCAACAGAGTGAGACTCCAACTCGAAAAAAAAATCTGTTTTTAAATTCTGGTTCAAAGTAACAGTCTTTTCTTTGCATTTTCTCTTCTCTTTGTTTCATATTAGTGCTGTTGAAAACAAAACATCACCACATTCAAAGTTCCAAGAAAGACAGTTCTGGTCAAGCCTAAAGGTGAGCAAAAACTGCAAAAATAAAAATTCACATTTTTTAAAAAATCCCATTTACTGTAGGACAAAGAACAACAAGCTTCTTTTATAAGGACTTGATAGTAAATAGTCTATACTTTGTAGGTAATATAGTCTTTGTTGAATTACGCTGCCACTTTGGCACAAAACAGTCATAGATAACGCATAAACAAATAAACATGGCTGTGTTTCAGTAAAACTACTTAAAGACACTCAAATTTGAATGTCATATTCTCATATGATACAAAATATTTTACTGATTTATAAGTTTAAAAGTGTTATTTAAGGGCTGGGTGTAGTGGCTCAGGCCTATTATCCCAGCATTTTGGGAAGCGAAGGTGAGAGGATTGCCTGAGTCCATAGGTTTGAGACCAGCTGGGCAACTTGGCGAGACTTCATCTCTACAATAAATCAAAAATTACCTGGGCATGGTTGCACATGCCTGTAATTCCAGTACTTGGAAGGCTGAGGTGGAAAGATCACCTGAACCCAGCAGGTCGAGGCTGCAGTGACCATGAGCGTGCCACTGCACTCCAGCCTGGGCAACAGGGTGAGATTCCAACTCAAAAAAAAAATGTTATTTAAAAATGTTAAAGCCATTCTTAGCTTACAGGCCTTACAAAAACAGGCAGGAGACTGGATTTAATACACAGGCCATAGTTGGCTAGCCCCTGATCTTGGAGTTATTGCTAGGTCAATGACAGTAGGAATGTCAAGAAGATGGATTCAAAAGATGTTTGGGAGGAAGCATTCATTGAAAGGACTAAACATGTTAGGAATGTAGGGTCATAGACGAGTTTCTGGCTTTGGTAATCTGGTAGCTTATGACATTCTTCGGGGGCCTTTGTAAGGGATGCAGGGAGAAGAAGAGGTTTGGGAGGTAAGATAAGATTTATTTGGAGTATAATTAATTGAAAATATCTGTAGGACAAATAGAAATATCGAGATCTAGGGGGTGGTTGGATATATGAATCTGAATTTTTAGGAGACTGATCTGATAAGGAGATTTGGGGGTCAACTACATGTAGGGAATATTTGAAGCCATGGTCATGAAGGACAAGTTCTGAGAAGATTAGATAAAGCATAAGGGGAAAGCTAAGGACAGAACATCAGAAAATACAGAAAGTGGGGAGGGCAGAGAAAGTGGAGGCTTTAAAGAAACATTAGAATAAATTGTAAACATTACAATGATCACAAAAATGTGTCCTCAAGGACACTAAGTAAAAGATTTTTAAGAACAGAGATGAGTATTGAGTGCCACTAAAGGGAATTAGAGAAAGACTGAAAATGTTTATTGGTCTTGTTCATTAGAGTGATGTAGGTGACCTGACAAGAATAGTTTCTATAAGGTGAATTAATGTTAGTCGTGTGGTTGAGTGAGAGAAAAGGATTTCCAGGACAAGGGAGCAACATCAATAATGAGATAAAATATGAAGAAAGGTTACATGTTAGTAACATGCATGTAGTTCAGCACTTGGGGTAATAAATATAGTACTGGAAAGAAAAGAACTATCATAAAGGCAATTAATATTTATCTTACTAGAATTTACTATGGTTACTTTACCCAAGCTATCTTGAAACTCACAGGTTATATTAATCTTATTTCTTAATAAGATCAGAGCAGTGATCTTAGAAAGAATTGGGTATTTATTCAGAAATGATCTATTCTAAAATGGACAGTTCCAGTTGGGCTAATTGTAGTGAGAGGTTGACCAACTACTAATGTTTGTTAGAGACTATTACAGTTTATCTTTGGAGAAAAGGTGCATATTTACTTGTTATTTTATTTTAGCTCTTCCGCAATATTCTTCTTTGGAACGAACTCCTCCCAGATGACACCTTGCAAGAGCTAGGGCTAGGAAAGCTGCTAAATCGTTACCTTATTATAGCTCTTCTTAATACCACACCTGGGCCAGATGTCATTAAAAAGTGTAGCCAGGTAAGTTAGATAGGAATTGATTCTAATTTTATCTATTTTTTTAAAATTCAGCTATTAAAGTCTATTTTGTAGCAAAATAATTAAGATTGTGGTGTTCACATAAGAATAGACAATCTAGAAACCCACATTTCTGAAATGGTATACTGGTTTGAAATATCACCAGTAGGTAAAGGAAAAAATGCTTAATAAAAGGTGCTGTAACAACTGACTGTTTACAATAAGAATGTTAGATCCTTACTTCTTACTGTATACCTATATACATTTCAGGTGAAATGTTAAAAAATGAAACTGTAAAATATACTGAGAGTGAGGGTGCTTTTTCTAATCTCAAAAGGCAAAAGAAGAAATGAGAAAAAGTAATTGATTTGGCAAAATATAAAACTTCAGTGGATCAAAAAACGTAAACCAAAAAGATACCAAGATTAACTGGTCATTATTAAAACTGGGGGATGTGTTGACGGGCTTCCTATACTATTCTTTCTTCTATTGTTTTATGTTTAAAATTTTCTGTAATAAAAAGCTTAAAGGGAGTTGAGAGACCAGAAAGTAAAGTTATAACACATAATGAGGATTAATATCCACATTAAATAAAAAAAGCTTTTTATAAATCAGTCAGCAATTCAAATGTTGTAGTGAAGTGGCCAAAACACATGCAATAGTCAAGTCACCTTTAAATATGTGGAAAAAATTAGTGCTAATCATCAGAGAAGTGCAAATTATTATATAGAAAGGATAGTTATTTTACCTGTTGTGTTGGTAAACTTTTTGTTGTTGTTGTTGCTATTTTAGTCATAATTCCCAGTGTTGTCATATCCACAGAGAGGCAACAGTCCATCACTCTTGGGTCACTACTCACCTAGAGTGTGCAGTACAGTAGTTCTAGAAAATAGTCTCCTACACTGGAGGAAGGAAAGATACAGCTCTTCTGGAGAATATTTTGGCATGGGGGATGCAATACTCTTCAATTTTATGCCTTCTGACTTAACCAAACTAAGTACTCTAGAAATTTATCCTAAGTCAAAAAACAGAGATGCACATATAGATTTTAAGTACAATGAATATTGTATAGCATTATTTATAATAGAAGATAGTTGGAAGCTACCTAAATGTCCCAAAAAATCATTTTGTTCTATTCATAAGATAAAAGTTACATTAATGAAGTTTTGGTTTTGTTTTTTTGTTTGTTTTTTTGAGATGGAGTCTCACTCTTGTCACTCAGGCTGGAGGGAAGTGGTGCGCTCACGGCCACCGCAGCCTCAATCAGCTGGGTTTAGGCGATCCTTCTGCCTCAGCCCTCCAAGTAGCTGGAACTACAGATGTGCACCACCACGCCCGGCTAGTTTTTGTGATTTATTGTAGAGATGAGGTCTCACCAGTTTGCCCATGCTGGTCTTGAACCCACGGGCTCAGGCAGTCCTCTCATCTCAGCCTCCCAAAGTGCTGGGATGACAGACTGAGCCACCGCACCCAACCAAGAATTTTTAAGAATATGGGTAAATATTTATTTTATAATATAATTTTTTAAAACAATACATGAAACTTTATGTATCAATTCTTGGCCAACCATGATCTGGCTGTAATTTTTATATCATGTAGTTTTTTGTTTGTTTTTTGAGTTGGAGTCTCACTCTGTTGCCCAGACTGGAGTGCAGTGGCCGCTGCCGGCCACCGCAGGCTCAACCTGCTGGGCTCCGGCAATCTTTCCATGTCAGCCTTCCAAGTAGCTGGAACTACAGGCAAGCGCTACCACGCCCGGCTAATTTTTTTTTATTTTTGTAGAGATGAGGTCTCGCCTGCCCAGGCGGGTCTCAAACCCGCAGCTCAGGCATCCACTCACCTCAGCCTCCCAAAGGCACGGGATTACAGGCTGAGCCACCGAGCCCAGCTCATTTCTGGTTTTTAATTGTAAATTATGTTTTGTACAATTTTAATGGCTCGGGAATACAAGCATATAGAAAGAATTACAAATATTACCAGGTAGTATTTATGGAAAGTAGCCTATTTTAAGTTCTTAGCATTAAAGAATGAAAAGAGACTAAGAAAGAAATTTTTTAAAAATATATTTAACCATAAGCTATAAACTGGGGAGAATAATATTCAACTTGTAGGATCACTATGAGATTATGTTAGCAAAATTTCAAAGATAACTGTCATTGTAAATCAACTATGTGTTTTGATTAACAGGTAGTAGCATGTCTACCAGAAAAATGGTTCAAAAATTCTGCAACACGAACATCTATTCCCCAACTAGAAAGCTTCATTCAATTTTTATTGCAGTCTGCACATAAATTATCTAGAGGTGACTTCAGGTAACATTTTATTTTCATCTTCATAAGCATAGTTCAAGGATTCTGTATACTCTTAGCAGTTTTTAGGAAGATTTGTATTTTTCCTATGCTTTTAAAACTTTGTTGAGACTTTGTGGTACTATAGAGTTAGTAGATGTTTTTATGATTACCTTTGGAATGGTTTATGTATATTCAGTTTTTAAAATGTAAATCTTTTCCAAAATCATGAAAATTAGAATTAAAATTGTAGCCAGGCTCGGTGACTCAGCCTGTAATCCCGCGCCTTTGGGAGGCTGAGGCGAGTGGATTGCCTGAGCCTGCGGGTTCGAGACCTGCCTGGGCAGCGAGACCTCATCTCTACAATAAATCAAAAAATCAGCCGGGCGTGGTAGCGCACGCCTGTAGTTCTGGCTACTTGGAAGGCTGAGGCGGAAGGATCGCCGGAGCGCAGCAGGTCGAGGCTGCGGTGGCTGGGAGCGGCCACTGCACTCCAGTCTGGGCAACAGAGTAAGACTCCAACTCAAAAAAAAAAAAAAAGAATTAAAGTTGTAACTCAGAAACCTCTTACGAAGCATTTTTTTAAAGTTACTTTAATTTTCTGGCCATTTTTAAAGACTCAACACTCAACACTTGTTAATAGGCACAGCTCTATAACCTGATGTTTACCCAACTGTAGCTAGATCTCTGCTCTATCTCATTCACAGCCTGAGATGTTTAGGGGCTTAAATACATGGGGGTTCTTACAAACCACTTCTCAAAAAAAAAATTTTTGTTTTTAAAGTAAAAGCCCAGATGTACGGCATTTGCTGGTGTTCATGGTATAAATACTCTCTCACCATAGCTCCCGCCATAATGCACCATACAAGCTGATAGCACTGCAGTGTTACTAAAATTTCTGATGATAGGTTTATTCTGTACTTTTTATAGTAGTTTATATTGAAATTTGTCAGAATGCATCCACTAATAGTCTGGATTTGACCTTAATAATTAAGTGGAGAAGGTAGCATCTCTGTATTTTATGCTGCCTTAGGTACTGGCTGAAGGTAAAGCTTTTCTTATAAATAACCAACTGGTGATTAGGTCCTGAATCGACCTCTGTGCCCTTATACATTGCATTTTTTAAAAAGGGGAAATGTGTTTTTTTTTTGTTTTTCAGAGATGAAGTCAAAGAAATAATTCATATTCTGATGAAAATAAAAGCTTTGAATCAAGCAGAATCCTTCCTAGAAGAATATCACCTAGACCATCTTAAATCACTAATTAAAGAGGTTTGAGTAAATGTTATAGGAAGGTGCTAAATGAGCTTTTAAAAAAAAGCTCGTTACTCTTCTTTATTCCCTGTAATGGAGGATGGATTTGCAAAAATGCAGGACTCCACTGCTCCATTCCCTCCATGCTTTACCTTCTGGTATCCTGAAAGGCTGCACTGATCCTCTGATTGTGAAGGAATTAAATGCACAGGAGCAGTAAAAGTTCAACAAGTTTCCCTTTGATTCTTTTTACTTCTTTTCCAGTATAAGAGGGGAGCTGGAGAAACCTGACATAACTGTTTTGGCCTAGGTGAGCATGCTAATAAGTCTTCTGTCTTGAATCACAGAAACATCTTTTAGTTCTCTTTATACTACCTCTATTTAAAAGTAAGTTACTATGAAAATCTTAATTGAAGTGAATGATTTGTTAAGTATTAAATGATTAAGACATTTTAAGGCATTGGATAACTGATTGTCAAGTTGTCCTTTAGAAATCTGTACCAATTTATTGTACCAAAGCACATATAAAAGAGTGCCAGTGAATTCCTACCAGCAATACGTATTATTATCATTTTTAAAATTCATTGTACACTGAGAGGCCAAAAGAATTTCATTTTAATTGTTTATTTTGTTTTGCTATTAGAGAGTGAATATGTGTTAGTTTGGGCCATTTGTAGTTAATTTTGAAATACCTGTTCATCTATTTCTATGGACTTGTAAGACCTTTCTATTTTAAAGATAATGATCTTTTGCCCATGTCATGTAGCAAATGATTTTTCTTTTCATTTTTGTGTATGCCATTTTTCTTTTCATTTTTCTTTGCCATTTTTCTTTTAGTTTTTGTGTATGATTTTTTTCAGTGTACTAAGTCATTGCTTGCTAGCAAGTTACTAGTTATTTTTTTGTCAGTGGTAGTAGGATTTAAAGGGAAACAGGTATTTTAAGTACTCAGGCCAGATGTAGTGGCTCTTACTGTAATCCTAGCTACTCCTAAGGCCAAGGCAGGAGGATCAGTTAAGTTCAGGAGTTCAAGACCAGCCTGGGCAACACAGCCAGACCCGTCTCTAAAAATAAAAAACACAAAAAATGAGCTAGGCATGGTGGCATATGCCTATAGTCCCAGTTTACTTGGGAGGCTGAGGCAGGAGGATCACTTGAGCCTTAGGAGTTCAAGGCTGCAGTGAGATAAGACCATGCCACTGTACTTTTAGCCTAGATGACAGAGCAAAAGCCCATTTCTAAATAACTAAATATTCAGACTTGTAACTTATTTTCTGACAAAATATCTGTCTAAGGCAATCTGAGTAAAGATAATTTAATCAAAAAGAAATTAAGAAAATTTTTCTTTCTTCTTTTTTTTTTGAGTTGGAGTCCCACTCCTTCACCCAGGCTGGAATGCTGTGGCACACATGCTCATGGCCACTCCTGCATTGATGTTCTGGGCTCCAGTGATCCTTCCACCTCAGCCTTCCGAGTAGCTGGAACTATAGACACACGCTATCACAGCCCAGCTATTTTTTTTATTTTATTGTAGAGATGAGGTCTCACCAGGTTGCCTGGGCTAGTCTCGAACCCGTGGGCTTAGGCAATCCACTCACCTCGGCCTCCCAAAGAAGAAAATTTTTCAAAGTAAGAGTTTACTGGTAATTTTCCTAAGTCTATTTGTTGCTCAACAGTAACTCTAAATATACATTTTGCAAATTGTTGTCTGAAGGATAACTGGGAAAAAAATAGATATATTGTGGATTTGAACATGTGGCTTACTATATATCCTTCCTACTTTTAAAGCTGTGTATAATTTATTTTAACAGTTGGGTGTATTATTTCTTTTTTTTTTTATTATTTTTTTGAGTTGGAGTCTCACTCTGTCGCCCAGCCTGGAGTGCAGCCTCGACCTGCTGGGCTCTGGAGATCCTTCTGCCTCAGCCTTCCGAGTAGCTGGAACTACAGGTGCGCGCTACCACGCCCGGCTAATTTTTTTTATTTTATTGTAGAGATGAGGTCTCGCCAAGTTTCCCAGGCAGGTCTCGAACCTGCGGGCTCAGGCAGTCCACTCACTTCAGTCTCCCAAGGTGCAGGATTACAGGCTGAGCCACCGAGCCCGGCTGGGTGTATTATTTCTATTGCAGTGAACACTTGTGATTCCTGGTATGATTTTATGTTTATATTAGTTACACACATTATACAAGAATTGAATCTCATCTAGAAAATTCAGACCATTGTTGAAAAGCATTTTGCATTCTCACACAGTTATTGGCCCCAGAGGCTACTGCTGTTTTCATTTTAATGTTTTCAGACCTTTTTTGTATTTACAGAAATGTGTGTATATGTATGTTTATGTACGTAAAGCTTTGTTTTTCTATACAAATGGCAGATATTTTTGTATATAAAATTTGTAAATTTTTTTTTACTATTAAAGGACACATTTAGAAATTATCCTGTGACTTTGGGGATTTTAATTAAATATATGTTGAATGTATTTCATTGTATTTTTAAGTGAGGTAGAGACGTTTCTTGCTTTTCATAGAATGAAAAATATTAGAACTCTAATAATTTTTAACTGAATTTCATTATATCTGAAGTTTGAACCTCAAAGTTTTTATCTGTCATATACTGTAATTGAAAATTTTTCATGAATCTTACCTAATCCTAAATTCAAAATTGTTGGGCTTTTTTCCTGTTACTGTGAAATGGATAGAATGAAAGCAAGGAGCACAACTAGCAAGAACAAAACATTGAGTCGACAGCTTATCTCACATCTTAATTTTTTTCTCTGGATTTTTTTCAGCTTTGTATTCACATAAAGCAGGTGAAATTTTTACAGAATCAGACAGATGACTTAAAGTTAATGATGGAAAAACCATCTCAAAACAGAATTGATTTTTGCATTTCATAGGTCCTTGACAAAATGATACTTATATAAATTACTCCTAAGAAATACCATGTTATATAAAACCTGAAAAGAGATATTATAAGAAAATAACAGACCAATAGTTATCATGAACATAAAATTAAAATCCTTAAAATGTAGCAAGTTAAATCCAGCAGTGTATAAAAAAGATGATGATACATCATGACCAGATGGGATTTATTCCAGGAAAGCAAGGTTGGTTTAACATTTGAAAGTCAGTAATCACCTATTAACAGAATAAAGGAGAAAACCCACATCTGAAGCCAGATACAGGCTCACACCTATAATCCCAGCACACTGGTGGGAGGCCAAGGCAGAATAATCACTTGAGCCCAGGAGTTCGAAACCAGCCTAGGCAACATAGTGAGACCTCATCTCTATAAAAGTAAAAATAAAAAAATTAGCTGGGCATGGTGGCACATGCCTGTAGTCCCAGCTACTTGAGAGACTGAGACCGAAGGATTGCCTGAGCCCAGGAGGTTGAGGCAACGGTGAGCCGTGATCGTGCCACTGAACTCCAGCCTGGGTGACAGAGTAAGATCCCAACTCAAAAAAATACATCTTGATGGCTGCCAAACCAGTCATCCAAATAATTGCAGGAAAAGTGTTTGACTTAAATTCTTCACCTCCTCACAGCACAAAACATCTCAACAAACTAGAAATATAAATTCCTCAATCTGATAAAGGACATCTGGAAAAAACCTATACCTAACATCATACATAATGATGAACTATTAAACAAAAGGAAGGATGTTTATGCTCACCACCCTGTTCAACACTGGTCTAGAGGACATAGTCATACAATCAGTGAAAAAAAAATGCATAAACATTGAAACACAAGAGTTAAGATCTAGTCACAAAGGATAGGACTATGTAGCACACTTTATTCTAACCTCTTAAAAAGAAAAACCTGTAAAAAATCAACCAGAACTAATAAGCGAATTTAGCAAGATCTTGCAAGAATCAAAGCCAGGGCACATTAATGTTATGATCAGAAACATAAAAACAATACGTTTTCAGTAGTAGCAAAAACATCAAATATCTAGGAACAAATTATATAGAAAGTCTTTGCCCCAAAGACTACAAAACTGCTGAGAACAGTTTTTTAAAGGCCTAAATAGAGGGAGATATACAACATGATCATGAATTAACTCAATTTTGGTTAATTCTCCCTAAACTGATTCATAGATTTAATGCAATGATTTTTCATATTCCATAGGATTTAAGAAATAGACTTGCTGATTCTACATTTTCTGTGGAAGCACAAAGACCTTAAAATAGCCAACATAATCTTGAAAAGGAACAAGTTGGAGGACTTGCACTATCTGATTTCAAGACTTAAGATAAAGCCACACAAGCTGTCCTGTACATTCCTGAACACATTCCTGAGAACTTTTATATATATCCACAGTAATTGAGACAGTGTGGTTTTAGAATATAGAATAGATTAATATATCAGTGGATTAGAACAAAGAGTCCAGGGAAGTAGACACGTATACAATAGTTAATTAAGGTGTCAAGTTAATGGGAAAAGGAAAGTCTTTTTAACAGTACTGGTACACCCAGGCTCAGTGGCTCAGCCTGTAATCCCAGCATTTTGGGAAGCCAACATGAGTGGATTGCCTAAGCTCACGGGTTCAAGACCAGCCTGGACAAGTTGGCAAGACCTCGTCTCTACAATAAATCAAAAATTAGCCCGTGTGGTAGCATGCACTTGTTCTTTCAGCTACTTGGAAGGCTGAGACAGAAGGATTGCTGGAGCCAGCAGGTCAATGCTGGGGTGGCTGTGAAACACAGAAAGACTATAGAAAAAATTAGTATCTTTGACCTTAGGGTGTGCAAAGATTTCTTGAGCAAGACACAGAAAACACTAACCATGAAAGAAAAAAAAGATAAAATGAATTCCATCAAAATTGGAAATTTGTACAAAGGTGTTCAATATCTTAGGTTCTTTGAGAAATACAAATCAAAACCACAATAATATACCATTCCATGGCCAGGCATGGTGGCTCACTGCTATAATTCCAGTACTCTGAGAGGCCAAGGCCAGAGGATCATTTGAGCTGAGTTTGAGGCCATCTTGGGCAACATAGCCAGATCTTATCTCTACAAAAAAATTTTTAAATGAGCCAGTCATTGTAGCAGGAGCTTCATTTGAGCACTAGAGGTCAAGGCTGCAGGGAGCCATGATCAAGCCTGGGCAACAGAGCAAGACCCTCTCTACAGATGACAGATTAGATAGATGATAGATAGGTAGGTACAGAGATGTACACTGTTTTACAGAATTTTTATTTAAAAAGTCAGCAAATGCTGG